GCACTGTTTCCCGTGCCGGCGTAGGCGCACGGCGTGTGTCAGCGTCACGGTATGGTGCGTAACTGCATTTCCCCTCGTCACAAAAAAAAAAGGGGGGGGGGAGATGTACGAGGGATTTTGTTAAGGTTTTGCTCCCGTAAAGTCTTTGCAATAAAACTTTGCAAACAGTTAGGGTTCTTTTCCAGTAATTTTTTTTTTTTTGCAATTTTTGCAAACTAGTATGTTTGTGTTTAAGGACATAAATACAACTGGGAGGTGGCCTTTACTAGTCTGTAGTAAAGGCCACCTCCCAGTTGTATTTATGTCCTTAAACAGGTAGGTGTAGATAGGACCGTCGAACCCTCTCGATGTAGTAGGTAAGAAAAAAATATTTTGTTCGGTCATCTAGTATGACAAAACAATTTTTTTTTAGCGGTGCCGGAGGGATGTAACGTCCGTTACGTTATTGCCTCCTTGTTTAGGTAAACTCTTTGCTCTTGCGATGCCTACGGTTGGCAGTTATATTAAAAAGTTAATGTCATGATTTTAAGATTTGAAATAAGGAATCGTCTGTCTCTTGATAGAAGGTTCCATACAAGAGAAGATCTTCAGGCACCAACCAAACCTCTCGTAGTTAGATAAAAATAATTATATTCGCCTGAATGAAATATAAAATAACTTATCTCTACCAGTATCTTTTAATTAGTAGTTACGTCCCTGAGTTCTATCCACTCTGGCTAGAGCTCCTCAATACTCCTCGGTTTTATGTATGAATGTGGTCTATGGTACTGAAGCCTTTTCGGAAACCAGCTTGTACAGGAGGTTGGAAGTCGTCTAAAGCTGTGAGTGAGTCGATTTCTAATAACTCTCTAAAACAGCATACACATGGCTTAGAAGTGATAATGGTCGATATTTTTTCAACTTCACTTCTGCCTTATGTCTTCATCGTTTCGCATTCGGGGGATACCGGGATTGGAAGCTTCTGTAGGAATTTGAGTGTCGGCTTGCTACTCGCTTTTAGAAAATCAATAGTGATTCCGTCATTGTCCGCCATCGTGTAGCTTTTTAAGTTTTAATGCAGTTGTGAACAGTTTCGGAGATAATATCATCAACTAATCGGCCTTCCGTTCTCACGCCTCGCTTCACTTGCATAGAATGATTAGTGCTCTGGTAAACATAGATGCGCTTTTGTTTTTGGCAACTTAACACTTCGACTTTCCTTCTTTACTTTCCTTCTTTACTTGGCACCTTTGGGGAAACTGTAACACCGCCCAAGTCTCAATCGAATCGAAGGCTTTCTCATAGTCCACAAACGCCTAGTGGCAGATATTATATTCTACGGTCTTTTGTATGACCTGCCGCAGCGTATGGATGTGGTCTATGGTACTAAGCTTTTGCTACATCTCCACCTCCACTGCTCCTCATTTATCCTCTGAGATGGGTGCGCACGATCCATTTAACTTGCATTGTTTGTTTATGGTAGGAGAACGTAGCAAGTAAGTTTCTTTAACGTAATAATTTATTAAGGGTGCTTTTATTCCCCTTTTTTGTTGCATTAAAAGTGTCTGATACATAATAAATAATAAAAATAAATTTATTTAAAATACCCGAAACCCCGGGGTTTTACAAATCAAACCCAGGTTTTTTTGCTATCCTAAAACCCGGGATAACTCGTTTTTTTTTCGGTCCGGGTAAGCCCGGGCTCGATGCCTTACAGGGCTGCGTATTGTCAGCGCGACTATTCATCATATACAGGGTGAAATTGAATGTTTCAATGAAACTTCGTGGGATTATTGGGTTACGTATATAGAGTATCTCTGAATTTTTTCGGATTTTTTAAAAATGATTTAAAATAAAATTTCGTTTTTTTTTTGTTAAATTTTAATCTCCTTTTGGGTACTAAATAATTATTCTTTTTAAACACTCATACAGAGTAAGTAAAAAACAACTAATTAGCACTACTAAAAAAACGTAAAAACAGAAGACGAGCGGTCGGGAGCAATGACCGCTCCCGCCGTTGAATCGGTTGAATACCTATACCTATGCGCGGTGCAAAGCGCAGTGTCAAGTTTATCCACCGCGCGTGCGTATCTTTTAAATTTGGGACAAGAGAAGATTTGCAAATAATGCCATGATTAGTTCTTGTTCTGTGGCCTCAATATAAGAAGTTGGATATGGTGTGTTGTTATTGTAGTGTCACGGTATACTCAGCAGAGCCACAAGGCTTTACGAAAGTAGGTTTGGTGATTGATTGTGTTTACAAAGTGTATACGGGAAGTTTAAGTGAAAAAAATGAATAGGTACATCGGTCTCGTAAGTACTTTTGAATACCGGGTTATAAATTTCACCCAAGTATTGAACTGCAATAAGTATTTCTTTTTGTTTAACATTTGCCTATTTCTAATCGTGACAAAATTATTATTAACTTTTAAAGTTTTTCTCCGCTTAAGAGAAGATGACATTTGTGCTTATTATTTCAATAAAGGCATCTAAGACGACTTTATTGTATTTTGTGGAATCAAAGGAGTCCACTGAACTCTGTGTAGAGGTACGTACTCACTCAACGGCTGGCGGGCGCGGTCGGTCGTTGACCCGCCGTGGAATTTTAATGTTTTTCCATTTTTTTGAAGTACTTATTTATTAGTTATTTTTCACTGGATATGTAAGTTTGTTTGTTTAAAATGAATAACTACTCAAAAGGAGGAAATGACATAAAAATACACAAATTATAAATAAAAACATGAAAAAAAATACTTCAAAAAAATCCGAAGAAAATCAGGCATACTCTTTTCACGTAACCCAACAATCTCACGAAGTTTCATTAAAACATTCAATTTCACCCTATATATTTCGACAACTGTCTCCGAGGTTAAGATCGATGGATGTGTGATTGCGAATGAGTGATCTACTTGTTAACTGCCTGCTTTACGCTGATAACGCCTTGGTTGCAGATAATCCAGCTGATCTACAGACACTGATCATAGTTAAGATGGTTGGTATGGAGAGTAGCTTATAACTAAATGCGAAGAAAACAAGGATAATGGTTTTCGAAAGAGAGGAATCCAGAACAAATGTCAGGATTATGGTTGACGGTATAGTGCTGGAACAAGTGAATGAAATCGTATATCTTTCATGTGCATTTAGCAGGAATGACAGGTACATCGCTAACAAAAAGAAAATAGTGCAGGGAATAGTGAATATAAATTTGTGAAAACTTCTTAGTAGTAAAACTAAGCCATTAGGTACACATCGCTATACACAACGCAGTGGTGATTCCAACGCTAATGTGAACCGAGACTTGGGTATGTCAGAAAGAGCAAGAAAGTAAAATAAAATTTAGTCGAGGTGCGAGTGTTAACTAAAATTGGCAGTGTGACGCTCGCACACCGCGTTCGTAATATTAAAGTAAGAGAATCGGTGTGACAGGCATTGGTGCCAATTCTGGCGTGATTCTCTAAACTTAAATCTAAATTTAACATCAGTCTCTCCTTTTTATTCTTTATAGTGAATGACAAGGATATACTGCTGTCAAATTTAAGTTTAGGTTTAGAGAATCATGCTAGAATCGGCACCAGTATCGGTTTTAAAAAATTATGCCCTGTAAATGCTCTATTGGTTTGGACACGTAAAAAGAATGTCTATTGAGAGAACGACGAAACATGTATATGACCCAGTAGTGGAAGGATGTAGACGCCAAGGAAGGCCAAGACTCGCCTACCACAATCAAATTGATCGCATTTTGAAGGAAGATGACGTGAAAAGCCACAGAAAACGTGGAGCGTGTAAAAATAGAGTGAATGAAACGAAAGATAAGTGTCTATGGACCGTGTCTTATGGCGCTCTATTCACTCTGCCTACCCCATCTGGGAACTTGGCGTAAAGAAAAATAGATATTCTAAATTATTAACACGGCTTTAATGGATTCTTATAAGTACACTTTTATTGACATTTGATTATTGAATACTGTCAAGTATTGACAAGTATTAATAGTTTGCCCAATTTATTATATTTGATTATTGATTTGAAAGTTTTGACATATTAATTAAAGTATTTGCCAAATTTATTGACATTTGATTATTGTATTGACTACATTGACTATTTTTTGTAATTTGAATCTTAGAATAATAATTAAGAATATAAATGATAATTAATTTGTATGCCGATATTGGCAAAACTATATATTGACTAATAATCACTAAACATCTATCTTTCTTGAATATGTTGTTACAAATAAAATGTCTTCTTTCTTTCTTTCTTACACCCAAATTGAGATCAGATCTTATTTCCACCCTTCTTGCAATTAACAGTTCAATGCCCTTCCCGCGAATCTATTGAGATAGGTCTGACGCCAGAGGTTATTTAATTAATATCTTTCATAATTTAAATTCTGTTGAACTACTCAAATTTCATAAAATTTCAATTCTTTTTTTCATTTAAATTCCTTATTTGACAGCAGATTTTAAAATAGTTTTGACTCTTCTGTATGGAAAGTATCCATCACTAACTAGTATAGATTATCTATTTTACAGCAAGTTCAAGGCATTCGAAGAGGTTTTTCAGTTATAGCTGAAAGATCTTGGAGTTTTGGAGATGTGCTGGTATTGATTGGAGCACAGAGCCAACTTATCAGTTGAAATCTTTCAAACCTAATTTTGATATTCAATGTACCTCTTACCAACTGGTGGTTGATTTCTTCCTATTTTTACAGCAAAATCACAGAGACATCATTGAATATGTTTTATAATATTAATACCTTGATCGATCAAACAAATATGATCAAATTGGTTTCCTATACTAACTTCCAGTCCCATTTCAATCCCTTAAAGAATGATTTCTGTAATAAAAACTATACTATGTCCTTTCCTGGTACTCAAACTATCTTATTACCGAATTTTGTGTACACTGCTTCAATTGTTTAAATGTAAATAATTATCATAAAGACAAACAGACATATTTTCAACTTTATGATCTCAGTATGGATTTCATAAGTAAGGGTCTAATATAAATAAAAAACAACTTACTTAAATGTTTCAATACATTCAAAACCAGTGGCCAAATCCCATACTTTGACAGTATTGTCCCATGATGCAGAGTATACTTTTGTAGCAGATTCTATGTTATCAGGAGCCAGATCCCAGACCCACCCAGAGTGAGCATCATATTTTATATGTCTGGGCTTGGCGTCTGTGAGTGTTGTCACATTGTCACTCTTATCATGAGGAGTTATGTCTAGAACATTCCATAATGCCATGCCCCGATCTCTACCACCAGAAATACATAGTTCCCCATTCTGTAACATGTTGTGTTATTACTACAATGAAAAACACACTTTGATAACAGTAATTTTGTAAATAATTCTTACATTCACTAAGAGAACAGTATCCACAGAAGCAAAATGAACATCTTTAACAACAATATGCCTCATAGTATTCTTGACATTTGTCCACTTTCTCTTTTCTACATCCATATCTATGCAGACATCCTCCCAATTTAAGGCATTATCTACCATTTTACAGTCAAGTAACACAGGAAAACATCCTTTTATCTTACTGTGAACCCAATGCTTCCATAGATGTTCATCTGCTAGTATGTCCTCAAACCTTCTGCAGATTTTACTAAAAGTGTTTCTCAAGAAGTATGGATCTAGGTATGAGCATATTTTTAGGATAATCTAAAACAACATTTATACAGGTTTATATTACTTTACATTTATCTATGCTTAAAATAAAAATTAATTATTAAATTAAGGAAATAGACATTTTGTTACCTCTACTGGCAAAGTATCGAATGATGGTTCCTCAGTATTAATACTGATATTTTCAATATCTAACAGCTCTTCTTTCACTGATTGAATTATATCATCACACATATTGAATTCAATAGGAGATCCTACCTAGAATTATAAAGAATGAGGAAAATTATTATTCATACTTATTGTTAACAGCTTATTTAATTTAATCATAACTTAAATATTTTTTGCACACTAAAATTAGCTACAGGTACAATGATGTACCTAAGTTTAATATGTTGAGCATAGGGTTACCATTTTTTTTTTATCAAATATAGTATTTTCAAAGCTCTTACCTCTAAAAATATAGTTGATTAAAAATTTAAAAAATATATTATGTGATTAAAATATTTACTTTATTTTTGAATTTAATATATTTTTGCTGCTAAATGCTTTAATAATTAAGATTTTATTTTTAAGAGAGCTTTTACTGGTAAGAGTCTGCTATAAGCAAAATAAAGTAATTTCGCCGATTATATATTTTTTTAGAAATACAGTATGTGATCCCCTAATATAGTAGGGTTGGCAGCCCTAGTTGAACATGACAGTTCGCTTTCGAAGCTTTATGTCCTTTTACGGTAACTACTTGACCTGTTTAGTGCGAAATTAAAAAGCAGACCATTATAGGCAATAGAGTTAGCAATATGTTGATAATTAGCAATACCTACTAAGAATAAAGAGAAATTCGAATTTGAACTATACTGTTTTGGGGATTCTTAAAACTAATGTGGGTGGCAGTGATGGAGTTAAAAAAAACTTAAAAATAGTACCTACCTCACTTACCTTAATTTTGTCGGACAGATGCTATCATTTATTATAAAGATTAAGCGGATTTGAATATCTTTAGAGGTTTATCTACGTTTATTCACATTTCTATCGAACCTACTGAAATCTTTGTTTAAAAACTATTACAACAAAGTCAACAAACTTCACAACAAAATAAAAATACAACAAATGTCAAATAAACAAATCTTTTTTTTTTAATTACTTAACCTATTCTGAGAAGGAAGGCTAAGGGTACTGGGCTTAGGGACACGAAAAAAGTATCGATACTTTGTGGTATCGAGTACTTTTCCTTTCGATACCGATACTTTTGTACTCGATACTTTGTATTCGATACTTTTACTTATCGAGTACTTTTTGGCAAGTAAGTATCGATACTTTTAAAATTTGGATAAGCGCCTCATACTGTTATGATATATTCAAATTCTTTCCAATCTCTGACTGTGTTTATTTTGCGCTTTGTTTTGTTTCATAGTTATTTATTTAGCGACCATATTGTTAGGAATTGTGATTGATGATTCGCCGTTTATTGTGCTTTTCGCTTGACTGCATTTGATGTTTAATAATTTTGTGTTTAATCCGTGCGGTGACGGAGAAAGAATACAACTCACCGCCCCTTTTCTTCCCGTGGGTATCGTAAGAAGCGACTAAGGGATGTCGGAGCTTCCATCCGCTCTTCTGGTGGTAGGGTGCCTAACACCGGCCTGGTTTGTTACCACCGTGCGCATGGTGAAAAACCCGTGAAGTGCTTCTCGCGCGTTTCGATGTCAGCCAGCGTACAACCAGAGCTCGAGTGGAAGTTGTCGCGAAGGATTCGGTCCAGGGGAGGCATCCGTGGAACCGATGCCGGGAGGACTGCATCGACCCGTCGGCCAGGGAGACCCGTAGAAACGGCTGTCCCGCTGGCCGCCCGTGGCACAGTACAGGGGCCCAAGCGTTCCTAACCAGTTCGCGAGGCTGCCCCATCATGTCACGCATAATCTCGGGGTGGACCGTCGTGCCGGTTGGTGACCGGGGCGTGGGGTCCCGGCGGCCACTCCCGAGGGGGTGCGGGGGCCCTTCCGTCCGGCGGGTCGGCGCATCTCCACTGCAGGCAGTCAATCGGCAAGACAAACCCGCCTTATTTGCCCGGACTCTTTGCGACGGCGTCCGCTCGTTTTCGCGTCTCTTTTTTTTTTCACTTCCACCATGGCAGCCTCAATAACAAAGTTTGGACGTACAGCGGTGCACACCCCCACGCCTTCAACGCTGTTTGAGGTCGAGTTCTGCAACATACGCGGACTCCACTCTAACCTCAACGCTGTCCACCACCATCTCGAGACAGCACGGCCAGCATTGTTGTTCCTGACGGAGACACAAATACTTCCGCCTGCTGACACAGGCTACCTTAATTATCCCGGCTACGTGCTTGAAGAGTCCTTCAAAGCGATAGCCGGTGTATGCCTGTATGTTCGGGCGGATGTTTGTTGTCGCCGTCTCCGCTGCTTGGAAGATCCCTCCTTCTCCATGCTGGGGGTACATGTCGACTCTGGCCCCCGGGCCAGAGTCTACGTGTGCCTCTACAGATCCCACACCAGCGATGTTGAGACAACTCGACTTTTTGAACACCTTAGTCGGGCAGCAGATGACGCGCAGGAGCGATTTCCCAATGCAGAATTGGTGTTTTTGGGGGACTTTAATGCTCACCACAATTGGTGGTTAAGTTCTTCCAAAACTGACCATGCAGGGATCTCTGCTCACACATTCGCTCTCACGCATGACTTGAAGCAACTGGTTGATCAGCCCACCAGGATCCCAGATATTCCAAGTCAAGCGCCTTCTTTACTGGACCTTCTGCTCACGACCCATCCACAGGGCTATCAGGTTGTGGTAAGAGCCCCCCTGGGCTCGTCCGACCACTGCCTGATATCTGCCAAAGCACCACAGGCCAAGCCTCCGCGTCCAGCAGTGGTCAAGCGCCGTATCTGGCATTATGGGTCGGCAGATTGGGACGGTATGCGTGATTACTTTGCGTCCGTCCCTTGGAAGCAGCGCTGCTTCAGTGACAGGGACCTATCGGGCAGTGCCGTTGCCATTACTGAGGAGATCATAATGGGTATGGAATACTATATTCCTCATTCTGATCTCATCAGTAAGGGCACACGTAACCTCTGGTTCAATCACGACTGTGCTGAAGCTGCTTCGCGTAAGCAAGCGGCATATCGTGCTTGGATCAGAGGCCGCGCTCTCAAGGATCCCGGGGTCGATTCACTCAAAGCAGCCTACAATTCTGCTTCCAAGGCCTGTAAGAAGGCTTACATCAGAGCGGATGCCCAGCGTGTTGCACGTGTTGGCCAGGAACTTATAACGCATCCTGCGGGCTCCCGTAGCTACTGGCGTTTGGCCAAGGCCGTGCAAAAAAACTTCTGCCAGCCCTCGCTGCCACCTCTGAGATGCCCAGACGGAACACTAGCTCATAAGCCGCAGAAGAAAGCCGATTTACTGGCAAAACTCTTTGCGGCTAACTCCCGAATCGATGATTGCAATGCACTGCCACCATCATTACCTCACTGTGGCACAACGATGCCTGATATTAAAATCAGGCAGCGTGAGGTTCGTGCCGAATTGCAATCACTCGACGTCCGGAAAGCTAGTGGACCTGATGGCATCCCAGCAGTAGTACTTAAAAAATGTGCAGCGGAGTTGTCTCCCGTGCTCACGCGCTTGTACCAATGCTCGTATTCTTTGGGACGTGTGCCGGAGACTTGGAGAGATGCTAACGTGCAACCGGTGCCCAAAAAAGGGGATCGCTCAGACCCGGCAAACTATCGGCCAATAGCAGTCACCTCAGTTTTATGTAAAGTTCTAGAAAAGGTCCTTAATAACCATCTGACCCGCTACCTAGAGGATCACTCCCTGATTAATGATCGTCAATATGGATTTAGACCGAAACGATCGACGGGTGATCTTCTAGCGTACTTAACTCATATCTGGGGTGAGGCTATCGACAAGCGTGGCGAGTCGTTGGCTATAAGCCTTGACATTGCCAAGGCGTTCGACAGGGTCTGGCACAAAAGCCTTCTCTCCAAGCTTCCGGCATACGGTCTGCCAGCCCAGTTCTGTTCTTGGGTAGCTGACTTCCTGCATGAGCCTAGAATTCGTGTCCTTACGGATGGTAGCAGTTTGCGGTTCATGTCAGTGAATGCCGGCGTTCCCCAGGGCTCCGTCCTATCTCCCACTCTCTTTCTGCTGCATATCAATGACGTGATTCCTCTTGGGAATATTCATTGCTATGCAGACGATAGAACAGTGCATGCGGAGTATCTCGGACATGCAGCGGCTGGGCGGGCAGTAACCAGGGAGAAACGGGAAAATCTTGTCATTGAGCTCAATCAGGCTTTGGACCACATTTCCGAATGGGGTACCAGGAACTTGGTTGGGTTCAATGCCAAGAAAACTCAGGCTTGCGCTTTCACGGCAAAAACATCGCCATTCCTTCCCCTTCCATCTCTTCAGGGCACAACACTACCGCTGCAGAGCAACATTTCCATGCTCGGTATGGAAGTTCGCTCAGACCTGAATCCAAAGGACTACATCGAAACCGTGATCAAAACAGCTTCACGCAAACTCGGAGTCCTAAACAAGGTGCAGCGTTTTTTCGCGCCCGATCAACTGTGCTTGTTGTACAAAACGCAAGTGCGGTCCTGTGTGGAATATTGCTCGCACCTCTGGGATGGCTCCGCCAAGTACTTGCTCGATGCTTTGGATAGGTTACAGCGGCGCGCGATCCGCATCATAGGCGATGAGGAAGTGACTAAACACCTTGAGCCTCTTCAATTACGCCGTGACGTGGCGTCACTAAGCGCGTTCTATCGTTTGTACCACGGCGAGTGTTCTGAGGAGTTATTCTCTCTTATCCCACCTTCCCCTTTCCTTCAGAGGACCACGCGCGCTGGCCTACGTTGTCACCGTCTTACTGTGGCCACAATTCCAACACGTACAAAGAAATTTGGTGACTCATTTCTTTGTCGCACTATCCGTAAATGGAATGCTCTGCCCGCTCACGTGTTCCCTCCCTCTTACAACCTGGGATCCTTTAAAAGAGGCGTGAAGAAGCAACATGCAGGCCGGCAGGGTGAGGATGGCTGGTGTGGCAGGTAGAACTGCTGTATCAGCTATCTTCGCGTCTGGACTTCACCTTCACTTAACATCAGGTGGGGTGGAGTCATTTGTCGGACCTAACTATAAAAAAAAAAAAAATGTATTCAAGTGTAACACTATTAATCTGTCTGTGCTGTGTATACGTATTTGAAACCACGGACCTGAAAAAAAAACGGACGTAACCTCTTCTATAATTATAATATTGAGTGAAGCATGCCAATGGCCGCCGTTAACTGCGTGTCAGATTCAAGTAACATTTTAATTATTAATGTGATATTAATGAACACTTTTTAAGTGTCAGAAATCACAGCTATTTTCGTTTCATTATATAATATAGCAATTTGTGAATTTATATGTCCTTTTACTGTTATTATACGTACTATAATAAAATTGGATTGTTTTTCTTTCAATTTTTAACCCGGGGGGGGGGGGGGGGGGGGGGTTGCTCATCGGGCCACAGAGGATCCGATAAGGCCCTATGAAATGTACTCGATACTTTGAAGTATCGATACTTTTGTTTCGATACTTTTACGAGTACGATACTTTTTTACCGATACTACTCATGAGTACAGTATCGATACTTTCTATTCGATATCGTGTCCCTAGTGCATTCAAAACACGGTTTGAGCAGCACAACTTTTTACCCTGACGTTCCAATTTTGACATAAAATCAATCAATAATGCTTGGAAGCAGGCCTCTCTCCCTGTTCGTTTCTACAGATCAGATTCAGACTCAGAAAACAAGCGCGAGAAATAAACAGTGTAGTTTAAGCAGGTTGCCTGCTGTGGCCACCCTGCTTAAACTACACTGTTTATTTCTCGCGCTTGTTTTCTGAGTCTGAATCTGATTCTGAATCTGCGTGCACTGTGGCTGTACCCTCATTCGGGACAAGGGCTATCTAGCTTTATGCTATACGTAGACAGAGAATAGTTCTCTTTCAAGGGCTAGCTAGTATGGAAGCGCCGAGCCGATTCTTATAGACAGTGTTGCCATGTCTCCCGACTTAACAGAAGATCTCCTGTTTTTCTGAAATTTCTCCTGTTGTACTGTTTTTGTTAGAAAACGATTTTTTTAAAATTGCATGTAAAGTTGCATTTTCCACCATTAATAATGTAGGTTGCCTTAATTATTATAAAATAAATATCAGTAAAAAAAAAAAGAAAGAGCCACCACAGAAACACATTCGTTACGGGCCTATACCTTGATTTGATTTACCAATTTAAGGCCAACCTCCCCCAGGTTGCAAATTGGAAAAGTACGCCTCTGCATCTACTGGTTTTCCTTGTAGCTCTTTCCATACATCTACAGATTTTTTTTTCAACACCTCCCGATTTTTAAAAATTGGACCTGGCAACACTGGCTCATAGATTACTTGGTGGAGTTTTTGGCGGGATTTCATCGAGTGCGGTTGGCGTCTTATTTTAATTATTCTTAAATTCGTTTATTGTGAATATTGTGAAATAAAATTGGTGAGGTTTTGTGTAACAACCGTCTGCTTAACTGAAGAATTAGTGGAATCGTTAAAATATACGCTATTCCGGTCAAGTGGACGTGAGAATTTTATTGTAGTGTTGACTACCTCACAGCAGCTTATCGAAAAAGCCAACTCGATATATTTCGTGCCAAACACTCCAAGAAATATTAGAATGCGTCACACCGACATTCTAATGTAAAAACAAAAAGATTAATTTAATTAAAGATCAGGCTGTATGGGCATTGTTCCCATTGCCTTCCCTAAAACGGGAGAACTTCAACAAAAAAAAAAGATTACTTGAGTTTTTGGCGCGATTTAATCGAGTGCGGTTGGTCTTATTTTAATTATTCTTAAATTCGTTCATAGTGGATATTGTGAAATAAAATTGGTGTGAATTTGTATTACATCCATCTGTGCAACTGATGAATTAGTGGAATGTTTAAAATAAACCTACGCTATTCCGGTCACGTGGAAGTGAGAACTTTATTGTAGTGTTGACTACCTCACAGAAGCTTATCGAAAAAACCAACTCGATACATTTCGTGCCAAACACTCCAAGAAACATAAGAATGCGTCACACCGACATTCTAATGTAAAAAAAATATGTAGACGACTGAAGGGCTTGTATCCATGGTCATAAATAATTTAAAAAAAAAAGATTACTTGGGGTGGGGACCAGTGCTGCCAACTCAGATTTTGAAAAAGGCGTAGGGTGCGGCCAGAGTGCACTCAGATTCAGAGTCAGATTCAGATTCTGAAAACAAGCGCGAGAAATAAACAATGTAGTCGAAGGGTACGGCCAGATTGCACTCCTGATTTAGATTCAGATTCAGACTCAGAAAACAAAGCGCGAGAAAAAGCAGGCCACCTGCTTAGGGTGCGGCCAGAGTGCACTCAGATTCAGACTCAGATTCAGATTTCGAAAACAAGCGCGAGAAATAAACAGTGTAGTCGAAGGGTACGGCCAGATTGCACTCCTGATTTAGATTCAGATTCAGACTCAGAAAACAAAGCGCGAGAAAAAGCAGGCAACCTGCTTAGACTACACTGTTTATTTCTCGCGCTTGTTTTCAGAATCTGAATCTGACTCTGAATCTGAGTGCACTCTGGCCGCACCCTTAGACTACACTGTTTATTTCTCGCGCTTGTTTTCAGAATCTGAATCTGACTCTGAATCTGAGTGCACTCTGGCCGCACCCGTAGGCCCGATGAGAAAATTACGTAGAATTAGTAAATTTTGGATATGAAAAGTACGTAGATCTACGTACTTTTTTCCGAGTGAAATGAAGAAGTTAGGTCAAACCGAATAAAATGAGTATTTTGTTATACAATTTGTTTAAGAACGGGAGATAGAACAAAGAGTTCTTGGAGAAGTCGCTAAATTGAAAGCATTTACCATGCTGTGGTAGACATTTACCATCAGACACAGACACTGCTGGGTGTCGATTCTGGATGGTTCTCTTAATTTAAAACTAAATTTAACATCAGTCTCTCCTTTTCATTCTGTATAGAGAATGACAAGGATAAACTGTTGTTAAATCGGCTAGTTGACACTTTTTGGAATTATCTTTTAAATTGTTAATAATCGTTCTATCAGATCGAAGAAAAATGTATTATACAAAAACGCTATTTAGTCTATAGACTTATCTATGCTATGACTTCAAAACATTTGTAAACAAACACTCGCAAGCATGTAGGAAATAAACTTTTTAAGTTAATATTATAAAACCATGACTTCTAATAGATCACATGAAAAATACAGTGGTTATCATGATATACTTGGTAAAAGCCTAGAAAAGTTGTGGTTTAAATTGCCAAGAGAAATAAACATACTTACACATGAACATATGTTTAAAACTTGCTAAATCCTGTAACTTTATCGACTGAAAGTCATTTCTTTTTGCAAAGATCAATTCGATGTGAGTAGGTACTCATTGATAGTATTAATGTTATGAATGTACCTACTAAGTCAAAGAGTTTTATCGTTTTTGCTTTCACAAATCCTGCGTCCAGCATTAATTTAGTCAACAAATCCAATAACGGGAACCTTTTCTACAAGATACGAGAGTGTAAGATATATCTTTATAAGAAATAAACATTTGTATAGTTTTTAAGTAAAGTAACGGAAAATATTCTTCTTTATTCTAGTGAATTAAGTTATTTTACAAATTTGAAAAAATAAGAAAATACGTAGATTCTGGGACTGAAGTTAGTAGGTTTCCGGAAAAGGCCTAAAATACGTAGATCTACGTAAAAAGACGTAGAGTTGGCAACACTGGTGGGGACATACGACCAAAAGGGTGGGGATTACTTTTACTTTACTAATTACTTTAACTTGCTTGCTGTGCGACGTTGTGGGGTCACTCGCACTTTGAATTATTTTGTATTGGGAGCACAAAGTAGGTATTTTTTATGAAAGTCTAAAACTATTAAAAAAATTAAGGAGGTTTCTACACTTCGTACCAAAATTAATAATAATGGAATTATACAGGACAATCAACAATGTTTCGTGTCGATTAGTAAATTGGGGTAATCCGTTTTCTTCTGATGGTTGCGATGTTATCTTGTGTATTACTGGAAATCCTGGGATTATAGATTTCTATTATGAATTTTGTTCAGCACTTCATCAAAGCACAGAATTACCACTTTGCTTGATAGGTAAGTTAGCCCTAAGCAACTTTAATGTTTAAAAAGTTTTAATGTAATTGGATTAATAACTAAACCAATTTACTGCATTGCAGGTTACTAAATTAAGTCTTTTTTTATTGTTATAGGTCAAGCTGGACACGAAATTATTCCTAATGAAACTCATATAGAATTAAAAGGCAATGAGCATTTATTTGATCTTCAGGGTCAAATTGAACACAAACTTTATCTAATTAATCACTTCATCGATAAGCGAAGTAAATTACATTTAGTGGGGCATTCAATTGGAGCATGGTTAATATTAGAATGTATACAAAAACATCCATCTATAAAAGATAGAATTGTTTCTATCAATTTGTTATTTCCTACCATACAGCAAATGGCGGTAACTAAAAATGGTAGATATGTGAATAATGTCTTACGAAAATTAAAGTCTTTAATTATAGCTTTCCTAGTAGTACTGAATATGCTACCAAGTAGTATACTTCACTTTTTTGCCAGTATATATTTAAAACTAAATGATTTACCTTTTCAATATGCTGAAAGAGTTTTGAAGTATATAAATCCTAACATAATAAGAAAAGTGTTGTTCCTTGCTTTCTGTGAAATGGATCAAGTGACTAAACTTAACACTCAAGCCATAAGTAAAATTGAAAACCTTGTAAATATTATATACGGTGAAAACGATGGCTGGGTACCGTTAAACTATATTGAAGAATGGAAGCTTTTATTACCAACTGTTAATATGACGAAAGTTCCTATAGCTCATGAATTTGTTTTAAAATCTTCTGAAAAAGTAGCTGAAATGGTGTCAAATTATATTAAAACAAAAAGTCAAGTAAATCTTTTTTCAACATAATATGTATTAATTTGTATTTAAAGAAAATGCATTTAAATATAGATTTGTTATTAACAATATGTGTTTCTATCGAGTGACCCACTGGAGCAAGACTTAAGTAATGTTTTGCTTGTTCAATGTACCTCAATCATTTTCATAGAAATTACGATATATCGCCTCATCCATCCAGAGTCGGGCCCTTGACTTGATCCAGAGAACTTAAAAATAACTCAATTTGTAACTAGTCCCTAATTACCTCTCGATTCAGGTATTAACTCAATGGATCATTAATAGAAGAAAAAGTTTTATCATTCCAACACGGCCCTTTGACAAAAGGACAAAATCAAAATATATACCTACTATTTTGATTTTGTCTGATTACGAACAGAAAAAGCACTTTATTATTTTGGATTACCAATGTATTTTTTTTTGCGTAATATGTATAGGTAGTCATTTTCGTGTGGGAGAGTCGTAAAGGAACTTAATCTTATGTTAAAAAATGATTGGCTCTCTGGCATTAAACCTTGTTAATAAATTTATGAGGTACATTGAACAAGCAAAGCAGTACCACTACTATTTTAAGTCTAGCTTGAGTTTCCCCGCTAGATAGAATCACATACAATAATATTATCACTATCCCTATCCCTACCAAGCTAACTCAGAAAATTTTGCGAAAAAAAGTTTTTATGTATAAGACACCGGCCACTTGTAATTATTTTGAAAACTTCGATTATTTAAAAGTAAAAAAAAATAAAAGATTTTCAAACTTCCCTCCGCATTTTTTCAAGAGCCAATAAATTTTTTCTTGTCTCATTAAAAAATGGTTCTGCATCGAGAACATTTTCGTGCTATGATTTTTTACGATTTTAAATGTGGCTTAAAACCTGATGAGATGAGAGATTTGATCTATTTCGAACCGCTTTTATGGATGAAAGGACGTTTAAAAGCAACCATCTACCGCTGATGTAGCGAGTTCAAACGGCGCGCAGTCGTCTTACTTCGGGGGATGAACAAAGGAGTTGTCTGGTGAAAATGGTTCCAGTTCTGTTAAAGCAACAAAAAATCGGTCTTTTCGTAGGCCTGGCCGTTGGCTCAATAAAAATAAAATAATGTAAAAAACGAAAAACGTGGGTGAAAGAATATTAATAATGTTATTTTTATCGTTTTTGTTCCAAAGATACGGCCAAAGATACGGCATATCTTTATGCAATTCGATTATGTTGCTCATAACTTTTTTCTTTTACCACCGACATCGCGCGCACCTGCGTAATTCGTAATCGTAGACATAATAACGTCCTCGCACAGTGACGCCTGCGGTGCGACTGAAGCATCTAAACCCTATCATATAAATCTCTTATTAGGATACTAAATGATTTAGTCAGTCAGAAGCCACACTTCTTCCGATTTAGGGTGCTAATTAGTACCCTAACTTCCTAAATGCTATTTCACTTGACTGAATTAGTTACTGAATGATTTAGAACGTCTGAATTTAGTCAGGTGGAATAAGCACTTCAGGTGGACGTCTGTTTGACATTAAGTTGAAAGGCAAATCGGTATCGATCCCTTTTCGAGTTGATATGTGTCATCACCATTGCTACCCTATTAATGTCCTCACTGCTGGGGCACAGAATTGTTTTAGATGGAATACAATGGATTAAGGAGATTGGGTCATGACCCACCACCATGGCCATGCGAGCCCAGTGTAGTTTGGTGGGTGCTAACGACTGCAGATGCAGCCGGGACCAACTGCGTCACGGAGCAGTGAGGAGCTCGAGATAATAAGTTTTGGTCACCCTTCCAATGACCCACCATTGCGAAAGTTGCTTAATAATCCAGTCAAAATAGACATTTGACTTGGGAATAATTCGCATAGAGCTGAAAATTGGCAGAGACTTTAAATACATCATTATAAATAAAAATTCAAAAATCCCCTTCGATCATACTGGCTTTCAATTGTTCGAGCTTGCTGTCGATCGTTGAAGATGTCGTTTATGAAGGGACTGGAGTGAAATGTGCTTTGAAAAACAGTTCTTGGGCTTTACAAAAGACTGCGACAGGAGTGAACGAACGTGAGAGCCTGGAGTAAAATGAATAGAAGAATGTCGTGAGGACGCGGCCCTATGGGACATTACCTACCCTCTGTTTCGATTGGGCGGATGGTGGTCTTTGCATCCTCTACACTACAGTCACGTAGAATGATCGGTCCCTGAGGTAGGAAGCAATTAATTTGATTATAGCCGGATGGATATTGGTTTTCTCTATTTTGTGAATTAGACCGCGGTGCCATACCTTATTCTACGTCCAGGATTGCCACAGTACTGTGTCCCTTGTTTTAAGCTTCGGTCATGTGATGAAAGAGACGAGTGAGTTGGAAAACTGTAGAGTTGCCACTGCGAAACCCAAACTGCTCAACACATGGCGTGAAATTGTAGTCGCAGTTGACGCAACATTTGAAAACATTTTTCTCGCATGAAAAATTCGATTGTATCATTGGAACTTGACAAAATAATAATGCGAGCACCAGCAAAATTTTCATTCCATGTATTTCAATTTATATATTTAACAACAGATATTACTGAAGATTAAAATTTTATTGTAAGTATACTAAACGATAAAAAAAATTACAACACGATGTACACAGTCAAGTCATAACATTGTACCTTTCTGCATATTGACGGACAGTCCAAATTTAAGATTCTTGAAATCGGACTAAGAAGAGATTACTGTTAAAGCTTTTTCTTAAAAATACCACATTGCAAAAGATGATCGAGTTATGATAAGTTGTGACATGTACTATATTAATATATAAAATCCATATTTTTAAACATAGTTTATAATAATAATTCATAATGTTTGTTACATACAACTAATCAATCTCGTTTCGTATATATGCTGATATGATACGCATTATCGACATCCGTTTTTATGGGTCCATAATAAAAATGGAATGTACCTGCGATGGCTGTCTAAATATGTATGAGGGATAATTTGATGATCTTCAATAATGATACTGTGAAATGTATATGGTAACAAGGTTTCGTAATGCGTTACTTATTTTATAATATATTCATTATAATTATATCTAAAACTATTTACAGATTATGGAAGAATGTTTCGAAACGGTTAATTCTGTCAATATAATTTTAACACACGAGACACCACCCATTGTGCGTTAATTTACAAGAGGTGTAAATACAGAATCGACGAAAAACATCGCCCTTTGTTCTATTTTATAAAATTAAAATGCTGATGTGAACAAAAAATCGAATTCAACGTCGTATTCTACGCACAACCCTCTAGCGGCGCACGTCGGGTCATCACCGGCGAGCGACGTACCGGACAATCTCTCATACAATAATAATTTTGAAATCTTACAACTAAGGGATACAAAAATTCACACTAATAATACTCGTACATAGAAAGGTGACGGTGGTCGCGCACGCGGCAAGTGGCTATCCTTCAGCATGTGGTCTCCAGCAGGGGATCCGCAGTCTCGGGCGCGACATCGGTGTCAACGGACGAGACGACCTTCTGGGAGGCGGACTTGTAGAGGCGGCGCGGGCCGACGCGATCGTCGTCCTCGGAGGCGGCGCGAGAGGGCGCGCGCGGCGGCGGTGGCTGCAGGCGCGCGGGCGAAGGGCGCGGCGACCGCTCGCACGTGCAGCGCCGACACGCGCACTCCGCGCCGCTCGCGCCGCACGCCTCACACACAGCCGCCGTGCGCTCCAGCTTGCCGCGCTGCGGCAAGCTCACTCCACCCTCTTCGCGGCCCGATTTTTTAACCCAGGGGTCCAACGCCGAACGGGCGGCGCTCAGTTCGCGGTCACTCATCTTACGCCAAGGGTCCCCGAGGAGTGGCGGAGCGTTCAGGGCGAGCGTCGAGGCGGCGGGCGACGAGCGCTCGCTGCGGGCGCGCGGCGCCGCGAGCGGAACGTGCAAAGGCGACGGCTGCGGCGTAGTACTAGGCCGCTCCGAGTGTGATCTCGCTCGAGGCGCCAGAGTGCGGCTCGCGGGAGTCACGTCGCTGAGCGAGCGCAAGTGTATGCGGCGTCGAACGCCAGCGGGCGAATCGGCGTCGGTCACGTTAATGCTGATGTTGATAGGGCGGGGACTGACTTCGGCGGCAGGCTGTTCAGCCGTGGCGCGGTCGTTGTCCCTGCGTTCGGGAGGCCCGCTCGTAAGGCGGGATGTTGTCGAGTTTTTGTTGGGGCCGGCCCGGCTAGGCCCGGCCCCCGCTAGCTAGAGGAGTCTCTCTGTCACCGAACTAGTGGTACCGGAGCTCAAAGTGGAAGCGGGATTTTGGTCTTCGCCTAATATAAAAGAATATAAGGACAATTTAAATTTGAACTTATCTTTGATATAAAAATACGAGTACAAATTAATATTTACCTTGAGTAGTTTGGCCTGTGGCCGGCAGTCTTTGTCAGTTGAGCAATTCTACCGAAACAAAACGTTTCAGTCTTTCTAAGTACTGGTTGAAGAGTTCGACGTCGTTGTGGCCAGCGCCCTGCAATGGGTACAATAACAATACTCTTATAATGTATTATGGGTATTCTATACTTATTTCCACTAAGTGGCTAGACGCGGTCTATTTATTCAGATGGGCATATACGAATTTCCATTGACGCGGCCGCGACTGTAAAACAACACGCGACTCGAGAAGCCGAGCGCGACTCAATATCTACGCAAAAATATTGCGCAATACCCACTGCGCGGTCAGTCGAGCGCGATGTGACTAGTAGTTTTTATTCAGCACAGATATGCAGTTGTATTTAAAGGTAGACCGCTTAACTGAGTTCTCGCCTGCGGGGTAAAGGATGTGAGGGAGGACGTAAACGGGGACCGCGAGAGGTGCGAGCGGCAGGCACATTCTTGTCAAGTGCCCGTCGCCCGCACCTCTCACCCTTTATCTTTTATTAAAACCGATTTATGATATGTAGGTAAATACTTGCCTACCTATCCTGCACAATATAATTATTCACCATCAATAACGCATTGAATTAAAAGACTGTAATTTGTACCTTATATCTATGCAGGTGTATAAACCACAAAAAAAAACAGTACAGTAAACCATAGATTTTTTTAAACACTAGATATTTATTATTTCAAAACATGATACGAAAACAAATAAAACACGAGTTTTCCGCGAGCCCTGCATTTAAACACTGACTGCCTGTCACGTACGGAGGCACACCACGGTGTGACTGCGTACGTAACAGGCAGCAGTGCTCACTCATACACGAGCGTCTTGATTGTGGTAGGTAAACTTATTAAAAAACATCGCAACGCGGTTGTATGAAGCTGTACGTCTTTTACTCATGTTGCGAAAAACTCCACTCGATTCAAGTCTCTCCATTTCTCTCCATGATTGTAGCCCATAATTCAGAGTTTGATTTTAGAGCGGTGCACAACACGGTTGAGGTTGAATTCTGCAATATACGCGGGCTCCACTATAACCTCAATGCTGTCCACCACCATCTTAAGATAGCACGGCTAGCATTGTTGTTTCTAACGGAGGCACAAATACTTCCGCCCGCTGGCACAGACTACCTTAACTATCCCGCCTACGTGTTTGAAGAATCTTTCGAAGCGAAAGCCGGCGTATGCCTGTATATCCGGGCGGATTTTAGTTGTCGCCGTCTGAGTACACGTCGACTGTGGTCCTTTGGCTAGAGTTTACGTGTGCCTCTACAGCAGCGCTATTCTGTAAGTACAAACGCACCGCGGGATCCGCGATGTAATTTAGAATATAAATTGCAAATCACACCGGGGCGATTTCTGCGGTGAAAAGTGAGTTTGTTCCTGCAGAATAGCACTGCAGATCCCATACCGGCGACGCTGAGACAACTCGACTCTTTGACCAACTTAGTCGGGCAGCAGATGACGCTCAGGCGAAATTACGCAACGTAGAACTGGTGTTTGGGGGACTTTAACGCCAATCACGTTTTGTGGTTGAGCTCCTCCAAAACTGACCATGCAGGGATGGATTCTCTCTCACGTTTAACTTGACATAACTGGTCGATCACCCTACCAGGATCCCAGATATAGCAAGTCCAGCGCCTTCTTTGCTGGACCTTCTGCTCACAACTTAACCGCAGGAGTATCGGGTTATGGTTAGAGTTCAGGCAATGACCCAAGTCAATGATGAATGGCCCAGTGGGGATAGGATTCATCAGATCATTGCCTGATATCTGCCAAGGTGCCATTGGTGATCAAACGCAGGGTCTTTCACGCAGGGATTCCTCCCCTGGACTCCACTCCACTCGAGCTCTGGTTGTACGCTGCACAGTATTATTTATTACCCAAAAAATTTCGTCATTTGTTTGTTATCGCTGTAAGTGATCATGGGGCACGTTTAAAACATACGAGTAAAACACACACGTGTCTATCTTAAATATTAGGGGCCATTATCTCCTTATCTGTGAATTTATTCGACGTCATGAGATGATGGTATTAAGACTATTTGATTAAAAATAAGTGGGTTATTTTAGATATTACATTAAATATTAAGCATTTGTAATAAAGTCGATTTTTATCCAATTAATCAATGTTTGTCTTGTCTCCTTTTAATTCTTTGTCTATACCTAGTTATTTGTCTCCAAAAGTTATCTACAATGTTATCATTATCAAGTAATGAACACCTATATTTACACAATATCACTCAAATGTAAAAACTACTTATACCTACCTATTAAATTCATAGTTTTTTGTAACAGTGCGTGTTTCAAACAAGTGATTGAGCTGTAATTTATGATGCATATTAATACAATTTCCACTAGCAGTTAATGAACTAATGATAAAAAAGGTCTTCAGTATTTTCTTATGCGTGGTATCCAATCTGAATTAAATACTATCATTATAATATATTATAATGATAGTATTTAATAATAATATATTATAATGATAGTATAATATATATCCCCGCGCTGGCCATCACGGCGTAGGGGAGCGTCCCCTGGGTGGCTGATGGGGGGAAGGTCGGTAGTACAGCTCAGCTTCACTACCGGCTAAGTCCGATGGACTCGCTGACCAACGATGGGTGTGGTCCTCCAGCATTTTGGGGGTTGTGCGGTAGGCTAACACCCTACCCACGTAAAAATCCAAAGTTACGAAACCGACACATAGAAGAATACGATCAGATCCCAACGACGACAATAGGCAAGGAAATAAGGAAATCCGATTCGCATCATGGAATGTACCTAGTTTATACAGAATAGGCGCAGTGTATCAACTGGTTAAAGAGTTGCAACGTTACGAAGTTGAAATTGCAGCACTCCAAGAGGTCCGATGGCCTGGTAAAGGAGAATGTGAACTGGATGGCGGCGTGATACTTTTCTATGGTGGTAATGACAGCGGCCGACATACTAACGGAACAGGATTCATAATTAACAAAAAAGTCCTAGGAAATATCCTTCGGTTCGAGGTTATCACTGATAGAATAAGTGTCCTACGAGTCAAAACGAGGTTCTTCAATATCACAATAATAAATGCCTAGAATAAGTGTCCTACGAGTCAAAACGAGGTTCTTCAATATCACAATAATAAATGGCTATGCACCAACAGAGATTACCGTTGAAGAAACCAAAGACCGCTTTTACGAGGACCTAGAAGTAGTGTTCGAACAAATCCCTCAGTACGATGTCAAGATTGTTGTCGGTGACTTTAATGCAAAAATAGGACGAGAAGAGATTTATGTGCCTACTATCGACTTACACAGCAAATATGAAGTCACGAATGACAACGGATTAAGACTGATAAGCTTCGCAACCGCTAAGTCAATGGTAGTCACGAGTACAATGTTTCCCCATAAAAATATATATGAAGGGACATGGAAATCCCCGGATGGTGTAACTGTGAATCAAATAGACCATGTCTTAATCGATTGTAGGCACAGAAACGTTATCCAGGATGTTAGAACCTTCCGTGGTGCCGACTGCGATAGTGACCATTATATGCTAGGGATCAAGATCAGGGTCAGAATTAAGATTGCACGCAAGGCCAACCGAACAAAGGAACAGCTCGATATAAATTATCGATAGCCTTAAAGACTGTGTAATACAGAGAAAGTATGAGGTAGAGCTTTCAAATAGGTTTGCATGTCTGAAAGAGCAGGAGAGCTTAGAGAGATGCAGGGAAAGTGCGAAGGTCTTTATCAAGGAAGTGGGATTGGAGACACTTGGTAGAAAAAACCGCAGTAATAAACGGAAATGGTGGACAACTGAATGTGAACGGGCACTAAATGATAAACATAAGTACAAGAGTTTGGCACTTCAGAACAGCGAGTGGAATAACCAGTATCGGGCGGCACGGAGAAACTTTCAAACAGTGGCCAGAAAAGCAAAACGGGAGCAGTAAGAAAAGAAACTTACAGCAATGGAAGCCTTAATTAAAACCAGCGAAACTCTAAGTTCTACCAGGAGTTAAAAACAGCTCGAAAACGATTCCAACCCACTACTCAAATGCTCCAAAAGGATAATGGCAACCTAATCTCCGATCCCGAAGACCTCAAAAATGAGGGGCGCTGATACTTTAAGGACCTACTGAATTGTGCTCCAGTAGTGGGCTCCATGGAGGAACCAGAGGATAACCAAGAGGGGGAGGAGGTAGCCGAACCAAGCTTTGAAGAGGTGGGAAAAGCGATCGCAAGGCTACGGAATAACAAATGTCCAGGTATTGATGGCATACCAGGAGAACTGTGGAAGTATGGCGGAAGGCCGGTGCAAACAATTCTTTACCACATTATAGCTAAGATATGGGAGGAAGAAATACAACCTGATGAGTGGAATGTTGGGGTCATATGCCCCATTCACAAAAAAGGCTGCCGAAAGATATGCGCCAATTACCGGGGAGTTGCACTGCTCCCTACGGCATACAAGGTCTTTTCGTACGTTCTCCTGGGCCGACTGCAACCACTGGCAGAGAAAATTATAAGCGACTATCAATGCGGATTTCGCCGCAACCGCAGCACGTGCGACCAAATCTTTCTTCTCAAGCAGCTGATGGAAAAAATAGTGGGAATACGCGCAGAATATTCACTGTCCTTTCGTGGATTTTACAAAGGCGTACGACAGTATTGACAGGAACACATTATACTGCATTTTAAGGTCCTTCGGAATACCGCGAAAACTAGTGAGGATGGTTGAGGTGGCCACTAAGTACAGCAGGATGAGAGTTAGAGCAGGAACTGAGCTGTCTGAGGAATTCGAAGTGGTTACTGGCCTTAAACAAGGAGATGCGCTTTCTCCGTTACTGTTTAACTTAGCACTTGAAAACGTCATTCGAAAAGTATTACAGGTCAGCGGTGGCGTGGAGTTGAACGGTAATCACAAGATTGTTGGGTATGCGGACGATCTAGCATTATTGGGAAAGTGTGAAGAAGAAGTCCGCAAGATGGCGGATACTCTAGAGGAAGAAGGTGGGAAGGTTGGTCTGAAAATAAGCCACGAAAAGACTGAGTACTTTCACATGAAAAGGTAAAAAAACACGAGAGAAACGGAAGGATCTGACTGTGAAAGGAACCACCTATAAGGGCGTCAGTAAATTTAAATATCTGGGCTGTACGGTAACTGACACCAACAGAAGAAAGAGGAGATCGACACCCGTATCCAAGGCGCACTCAGGTGCACAGCTGCTCTTCACAAGGTCTTGGTTTCCAAGCTGTTACTAAGAAAGACCAAGATTCGGATCTACAACACAGTGATTAGGCTGATCTTGATGTACGGTTGTGAGGCTTGGACGCTAACCCTTAGAGAGGAAAATAAGTTGCTGGTCGCCGAAAGAAGGATTCTGCGGAAGATCCTGGGGCCGACTCAAAGAGAGGATGGTAGCTGGAGAGTGCGGACGAACATCGAGTTGGAAAATCTAGTGTCCGAGCCCAACATCATAGGAGAAATTAACGCAGCTAGACTCCGCTGGCTCGGGCATGTAGAGAGAATGGGAGAGAATCGAGCCGTGAAAAGGGCGTATTTGGGGCAACCGATAGGACGACGGCCCGCTGGACGTCCCAGATACCGCTGGAGCGACGAGGTGCAGAGGGACTTGCAGTCTTTGGGTGCCGACGGCTGGCGAGACCTAGCCCGGGATCGCAGAACATGGCGTCATCTTGTGTCGGAGGCCAAGATCCACTTCGGATCGTTGCGCCACAACAGTAAGTAAGTAAGTAAGTATAATATATTATATGACAAGTTATTTATTAAATTGCACTCTCATGTTCAAGGAATTTCTAATGTGTGTAGTAGGTAATGCTACACACACGGGAATAATACAGATTTTAATCAATTTATTTGACGTTCTTAAAATACGTGGCCGTTGCTTCCAAGCATGTTTGCGCTATAGTCAAACTCTGAGGCTCGTATTACAGAATGACAACTAAGTGTTGATCTTTACTTGGGTACAGTTACAAAGGGATGTCTATATATGCTTTATAGGTATACCATTATCCCTTTCTGACTATGCTCAAGACTAGATTAATTAATGAGAATCTTTCTATAATACGGGCCTTAGACCCAAATATGCACTTTCGTGACTAAAAGACGTCAGCTCTGGGACAGCTCTGCCAAGTACTTACTGAACGATTTGGCTTGAATAGCTTACAGCAGCGCGCGACCCATATCATTGACGATGAGGAGATGCCTAAACACCGAAAGCCTCTTCGGCTACACACACCGTGATGTGGCGTCATTGAGCGTATCTATCGTCTATACCACGGCGAGTGTTCTGAGGAGTCATTCTCTTCAGATTTGATTGTTTGTTTGTTTGTATTGAATAGACTCCGAAACTACTTGAAAAATTCTTAGACATTTAGAATCCTACATTATCCCTGATGAACAAAGGCCATAGAGTATTTTCAACAAGTAAGGGTTCCGTATGAGAAATTCGATAATGTAACCCAACATGTGAAAACAATAACCTTTTGTCGCGTATGCTGCAGCAGGCATTGATAGTGGAGCAAAGTAATGTATGTACTTAAGTTTTATAGAGGATATAAATATCTACAAAAAAGTCCGTGATAATGATAACATATGTCTAACTACATATTACAGTTTTGTCACAAAAGGTTCCCTGCGGTTTCACCTGTGTTAATTTGAGGAAAAAGGTTATAGTGTCAAAATTAAAAATTTGGAAATATGCTGCTGCGGACTTTTTTTTATAGAACTTTTAAAAGCAAAACGATTCCGTCATTCATGATTTTAATGTAACTTTAACCGTTTACACAGAGCACGCATCGGAAGCTCACAAATGGAAAAAAATACCCGTTTTTGTAACATTTTCAGCGATGCTCCGCTCTTACTGCTTGTAGCGTAATATTATATAGCCTTTAGCAGTATAGTGTAGTTTGTTTGAAGAGAGAGATAGAAGGCCTCTGTTTAGGTTGTTTCACTGTTTTCGTTTACCCTAAAACGTTTGTTCACATAATCTTATTTATTATTCGATAGACTTAAGAATTTATCAATAATTTTTAATGGTGTTTTTCTAAATTCAAAAAGCGTTTCCTTTAAATATTTCGGTAATTCACATGTAGATTTTGTTTTAGCAGGAGACATAAGTTTGCCATGGAGATGTCTGTCTGCCTGTTTATTTAATTTCTTCAAAAACCGGTGAGAACCTTCTAAATTTCTTTTCTTTTATACATTTTCTTTTGTTTTGTGCCATGTGCTAATTTGTGCATTGTTTATTTTCGGCCATAGGCGTTTTTTTATACTTTAGAAATTTTTATATTGGACCATGAAATAACCCTTTGTCATTACATGAGAGCGAGGCACATACATACATTTAACTCAACACATAACAAAGATGCAGCGGGGACGCATTACGCATAAGCGTAAATGAATACCTATATACCAATAAGGACATATATACTAATTCTGGTAAGAGAAAATAATTCCATTATGTAAAATTCAGGTAAAGATTATAAATATATGATGATTATTGGACTTAGCTTTTAGATTCAAGAAAATCATTGGCAAATAGTTGTAAATTTTAATATATAGACCACCCAAAGTGAGTTTGGATTTTGCTTCAACCCCCCTTGCCATTAATAGTTCAATTGCCCTTTCGGCGCGTCTATAGTGGTAGGTCTGGAGCCCGAGTACTTTATCATTTTAATTTCGACCTAACATATTGCTTTACTCGCATCCATCGGCTTCCCGCGACCTTCACAAGATCGTCAGTCCACCTTGTAGGGGGCCTGCCCACTGAGCGTCAGGACCGATCGGTGTGGAGATCCTTGGGGGAGGCCTATGCTCAGCAGTGGGCGTCCTACGGCTGACATGATGATGATATTGCTTTAAAACATTTTTGTCTTTCCCACATAAAACCTCTTTTTTATATAACAATAGTCTACACCAAAGCGAAGCAAGGGCGAGCTACTAGTTTCTTATATTTTTATTTTAAGCATTTAACTGCGAGATTTATAAATCTAAAGAAAATTTTACTAGAAAAATTCAATGCAGTGCAGGCATCAGATAGGATTTCTATGGTAGAAATATTCTCTAGTACATAGTTATATAAAATTAATCAACGGCACATTGCCTTTGCATTAAATTGAAAAAATGCTGATTACCTCTACCCATAGTGGTTCCACAGCACGTGGACATCGCTCATATATAGCTAGACCATGAGAAAAGTCAATCACCTCATCTTCAGTGCCATGAATAACAAGGACTGGAGAGGTCACCTTAGGAATTTTATCAATACTGTAACAAAAAAACATATTATGGACACTTAATCTATGAAAATTACACTAAATGATGTCCTGAACATGTTAATGTAGGTAGTTTATGTCATCAGCATCATTGACATACTTAATTCAGTTTTTTGACTGTTTCAGAATTATCAGTAGGCAGTGGTAAGTTTGGAAATTTATAGATGTGGTGCAAACTTAATTTGTACAAATAATATCTATAATTGCTTAAACTATAAAAAAGAAATATTAATCATATTCTATTTACAAAAGTTGATAAATATGTGTTAAGTAACTTTTACACTGCAAGGTTCAGTGACTAGGAAGGAAAGATGAGGAAATGAAAATCAGGTTTTTAAGAAAACATTATTTACACATTTTTTAATTATCATAATTGTGTTATGTTAAATAGAATCTAAATATCTTTGCTACCTTTTTATAATAAAGGCAAATACAATAGTAGGATCTAGGACAAATTTAGACCAAAAGTAAACACTTTACCTCTTAATTGTCACGCAATGACTTACTAAATTGATTTCTGAACACATTCATTTGCATTTCTAGGGGTTTGACTTATTAATTCAATATCTTATATAGCACTTAGTTCTTTATAAATATATGAAAGATTGGAAATAAAAACTTGAGTCGAAAAGTAAGGTTATTTTGAAAGATGGGAATGTTGTCTGTTGTCTATGGTTGAACAGTGTTCCACCAAAAAGTCTGTTCAAAATGATTTTAATTGACGTTTGTAATCAAATAGTGAGTGGGCTACAGCTGGCATATATAAAAGTAGAAAAAGACTTTATTAACTTTACGCAGAACAAAATTATAAAACTAGTGCTGATTTCAAACAGTATGTATAGAGTTACTCAAAATTATTTAAAAAAGTTTGTAGAATAGCCAAGTCTAAATATCTGAGCTGAAAAATCTAAAATAGTAATGACAAAATAAAACTGACCTGGAATATTATAATTTTGAAACTGGAAAGTCTAAAATCAGAAATACAGATTATAATCTACACATTAAAAATAAAAAAAATACATCAGCATTGAAGTTGCCACTGATTTTTTTTACTGACATTCCAGTTTCAACCACCGACCGACCGAATCTTTGAGCTCCTCCCCCATTGAAGCCGAGTCTATTTTAAAAGAAAGTATGAAAAATTATAATACTCGGTTTGAATTTCAATATATTAATAAACGCAACCACTTATTGACGACGTGAACAATGCCATCTCTAAAGTAGTCCACTGGTTTGATGCTAATAATTTACTTCTTAATGAAGGTAAAACTAAATGTTTAAAATATTTATTACACAATGTAAAGCAGACACAAACCAGTGTAACTATCAAAGATAAGAATATAGACCTTGTGGACACTACAGTATTCTTAGGCATTACACTAGATTTGAAGCTTCAGTGGGGCCCACATAGACGTAGATACTGCTTGATTAGTTGATTTTAGTTATTTTCATAGTGTGATGTCGCGCGGTATTTTGCTGTGGGGAAATGCTGCCGACATTCAAACTATTTTTGTGCTGCAGAAGCGGGCTGTTTGATCAATTTACAATCTTAAGACTAGGGACTCTTTTAAGAGAAAAATTTAAAGAAATCGATATAATGACTGTTGCTTCTCAGTACATTTATGAAAATTTAATGTATGTTAGCAAAAATATTCCTCTATATAGTGCTAAGCACTCGCTAAATACTAGAAATAAAAATAAATTTGCTGTACCAATTACAAGGCTCCACAAAATCAATAATTCATTTAAAGGTCTTTGTGTAAATTTCTACAATAAAGTTCGTTGAAACTACCATTAAAGGAATTCTTATTAATAAAGCCTATTTTAAAGTGTCTGATTATATTTCAGACAAAAATGCTTGGGTTTAAACTGTTCCAAAAGATCCGACAGGCTTTTTCTATAATTATAATAAAGATGAAATGATTTTGTATTGACACCGCAACAATATAATTTTTTCTAAATATTGTTACATAATTATTTAATGTGAAGTTTTTTTTGCCAGTTTTTCTCCACAGCTAAAAAAATTATGTCCTTAACTGGTGGTAGGGAAAAAAATATGAACAATTCAAAAGAGTTGTATTTTGCATCTAATTTGAATAAGATATTTTGACTTTTGATACAAGCAATTTAGTTGATATTTCTTTTTATTTTTAGGTATTGTTATTATCTTAAATCTTAATTATGAATGGTGTGGGTATTTTAATTATCCACTTATTGTTTCATCCTGGATATTAAACTGTAAAAGTGGTTTGGTTTTGATTTACTTATAGCACAGATGCTTATCCCCTCAGGTGATGGTTGTCATGGCGCCGTCTTACGTCAAAGTGATTACGTCATCCGTCAACCCTCCGCTGGGTGGGAACGATTGCATTGTTTTGCCGATTTCTCTTTTATTTCGTAAGAATACCCCACACAAACTATTCGCTATGTGCGAAGTACATGGTGGGGGTATAGTGAAGCGATCGCAGCGCTTATAGTGGCAGAAATACGCAACAATCCGGGAAAGTAAAGTCAATTTGCACGGAGTTCGTAATAAACAAAAATTTTTTAAAATGCCTATTAATAGATGTTGTTGTGTTGTGAATTGCAAAAATAAGGGCACAAATAGTCTGTGTATATATTTCCTACATTGGACTGGAAATTAAATCAAAGAAATAAATGGATAGATGCCATAAAAAGAAATAAGTAAGCGAAATAACCTTAAATTATGATCAATTTTATTTGCGCTATATATTTTATGTGATATTCATTATTGTCTTTATTATTTTAGTGTTGATGGGTCGCCATGGTATCCCAAACCTGACGACACAATTTGTAGTGAACATTTTATGGGAAACAAAAAATCAGACGAGGAAGAAAATCCGAGTTATGCTCCTACGATATTCCCTGAAATATATCGAAAGAGGAAGGTTAATGATTCACAGGTCCTAGCTAGATATACACGCTTGACAAAACGAAGAACCACAAAAGTCTCAGATACCACATCAAGTCAAATAATAATTGAAGAAGGGAGTGAATTAAATCAAACTCAACCTTTTATGATCGATCAAGGATGTCAAGTCAATATGTTTTCTGAATCGAAATTAAGAGATACAACTTTTATTTGTATTAGATTAATTTACAGTGATCACTGTGATCCAACATCAAGAATTTTAATGACAAATAATTCAAGAAAGAAAGATAAAAGCTGTGGCACTGACAAAAAATCGTATGAGGATCAATCTACCGAAACAAAAAGTCAAGAATTTGTTGGTATTTCATCAATAACAAATGATCAAGAACTCCTAGATCCTTCTGGTGTGTCATTTAGCAATTTTGAGTTTTTATTAACAAGATTAACTATGAGAAAATGTACAGTTTCCACTAAAGACCGACTTCTGATTTTTTTGATAAAAATGAAAACTGGCTTGACATTTTCAGCATTGAGTGTGTTATTTGGTGTACAAAAAAACCACAATCTCACGTATATTTCATTCGATCTTACAAAATCTAGCTTGTTCAACTGCTAATTTAATCTTTTGGCCGAATAGAGCCACCGTACAAGCACCAATGCCCAAGTGTTTCAGTCCAGATTACATCAATACAAGAGTTATTATTGACTGTACTGAATTCCGAATTGAAATCCGACATTATTTAAATTATTATACAATATATAATAATTTTTATTTATCTTTACCTTACTATATTTACTAGAAATCAATAAAATACAAACTGATGTTATTATTTGGCATAATCCCGGAAAGTTGCGCATTGTAGGTGGCGCTACTGTCGTGCACATAGCGAATATATATTTGGATTCTTTATAAAATTTACTATAAAACAGTGTCTATACAATGCGTCATGTCTATAATCTATTTTAATTACGTTACGGTAAACTCGTGAAAGTTAAAAAAAGTCGTTTATATGGGTAAAATAGGGTATATTTTCAAAATTTGTAAATTTTTAAGTCCAGGTTTTTTGGTTATTTGCACATTCTATTATAACTTACCAAATAAAATCATAAAATACCATACTCTGATAATTTAATTTTACACTATAGCTCTGACAACCACGTGCTCATTGTGTAAACAAAGACGCGTCACAAAAAAATAGGCGTCGGGTTTCGCCTCGGCGATAAGCGCAGACGGGCGGCCTGAGTGCCATGATTTATGGGTTTACGGTTAGCTAAGATTGTAAACATCACTTTAGAAACAAGTGTGGCATGAATAGTAGTTTGTTTTTTTATAGTTCTAAGAACTTACAACAAGGCATTTTAAAATCGCCTACAAAGCAGTCATCTCAGTTTTATGTCGATAAAACGAAAAGTATTTACAATTTTGATAAACAGTTTCTTTTTTCAAAATGTACATTAAATTTGCTTTAGAATAAACAAAAACTAATCACTAGTTCGCATACAAGAAAATAATATGAAAAAATATTTCGTTCGAATATTTGAATTTAGAACGACCGTTACACTGCGCGGCTTTTGTTTTTTTTTATTTCTTCAAAAATACTAACGCAAGAGATTCTCTGTATTCGAAATATTAATCATGGATAATGTATTCAATAATTATAAATTAAAACATTACAATTATTATCGAAATTATCACCATGAAAACATAAGACACAAACCCTTTTTTTATTGTTTTTTTTTTACGAGGGATGTAACAAAAAAATTATAAAAAAAAAAAACACGTAAACCCGCACACGAAACATCAAAATAGAGTAACTTAATGTATTTAACTTGCCCAGAGATGGTGTTTTTTTAAAAAAAAACCACTGAAAAACACTTTAAATAGTCTGAATACACGGCATATTTTTTTTCATACAAAAAACGGCGAACGACGAACTTCCACAGACAACAGTATAAATATTTCATATGGCAGTTGACTTAATCAATGGCTAGATAGCTAGCGTGTTCTTTCCTCTACAAATTGATATAAGCATGTAGGTGATAGCAATAAGAAGGAATATTTTAATTGCCACTGATTACGTAGTCGCGCGATGCCGACTTTCGGCATGTCATCACTTGACGGTTTATTGACAGATGCCGACTTTCGGCATGTCATCACTTGAGAGGTTATACCATTGACAAATATACGATGACAACGAACCCAGATATTCAATAAATCACACAAACCAATTGTTCAAAAAGAGTGTTATTATGTAACGAAATATAGTTAACTATATTGCCAAATACAGTTAAAACATAATAGCAAGAGTTGTTTTTTGAGATGATGATAGAAATTTCTTCATGCTACAAATTAAGCCTTATAGAACTTCCAGTTTTGAAGAATATGATCATTCAATTGATTTTGATAAAGCCCTATGAATCCTCATCACTAAACCGTCTATGGTAAGACTTACCTACCTCTTAGTTTACTTTTGGTCTAAATTTGTTTGGAACAGACTTAAAATACCCTCGTCTTGCTCCCCAGTTTGCGAGGAATGAGTAAGAGGATATTTGGGGTATATTTAAACAATAACACCACTGCTAACCAAAAGACCAGGTTTTTGTACAATATTTACAAAACTTGATGTAACTTACCTAGGAAAAGCGTCAAAAAACCATGTCCTCTTTGTATTTGGAAATGCAACCCGCATGCCTGACATTAAGGGTGAATGGAGAACCACAGCACCTACTTCATAACGAGCAGCTAAGTCTACAGTTGGCACAGTTCCTATGCTTTGCCCATACAGTATGATATTTTCTGGGCTTATACCATATCGTGTCCGTAAAGCTTGCCATGCAGCATCTATGTCTGCATATAAGTTCTTTTCCGACGGTTTTCCACCACTCACGCCATATCCAGAGTAGTCATAACTGAATATATTACAATTTATTCTAGTGCCTAATCCTAAGTAAAAACTACTCATTTGACCGAGATCTACGGCATTTCCATGTGAAAATAATATCGTAAAACGCGCATTTGGACTGCAGCGAACAAAGAGACATGCTATTCTGTTTCCTCTAGATGTTCTGGAATAGAAACCTTCAATGTTCTCTTTCTCTCGCTCGGAATACTGCCATTCTGCTCTTTCTGTTAGAGTTAATGAGAATTTTGATCCAGTTTCATCAGGAGTAAATGCATACGTGGGTTCTGGAGGCAAGAATGCAAGCTTAGCCGCAATTTTCCCCGGGCATGGCGGACAACAAAATAGGCAACAAAGTTCACTAAAACTTAATCCATTCATGATGAAAATATTTTAAAATTCATGAGAAAACTATTGACCACTACACAAAGCAAAATAATAATTCACAAATTATTAATCAAGACAAAAAATAAAAGAATTTCACAAATGTTGACAGTTCGTCAACATATTTCAACCAGCCATGACGGATCACGATAGACATGAGACAGTTATATCAAAACGAAACGAGTTATATAAAAACCGTTTTCCGATAATATAACGTATCGAAGTTTCTCCATAACCGTTTTTTTCAATAACTGTATTACCAGTTACCACAGAACAGAAAACAGAATCCCAAGCCATAAAGTAGCTATACACCTTTCAATCTTACTGATTTATAGGAAATCCTTAATTTGGAAACTTTTTCTACGAGCACATATCGATGTTCCTTCGCTTCCTTTTATGGATTATGCCAGGCCGCAGCGGATCGAGTCTCAACGTAAAAATACCCAAATTTCTCGTACCTGTATTATTTTAAATGCTTTGTCTGTCTCACACTCATCATCAGCCTAGTAATGTCCCCACTACTGGGGCACAAGCCTTCCCTATGTGTTGAGGTTCTATACCTCATCATAAAAATAATAAATGGCAGATTAACAAAAAATGTAAAAGAAAAATGGTCTCTTATATTTAATTCGTAATTTGTAATTTTTCTCTAAAATATATTCAGTCCTTTAAAAAATATGTTTTCCTTAAATTGAATATTTTGAAAATACTACCGCTCCTTCGAACCTATTTATTTAATTGTTTACATAACATCTGGCGACCGTGGGATAAAATATGGAGCGGGCGAAAACCGAGAGATCTGTGGCAAGAAGACGATTCACAATTTGTGCTAATAAGCTAGAAAACATCGTAAGTACTGCAAAAAACAAAGATGATATTGCCGTAGAATTTAAAAAACTGACTAAAATATATAATGACCTAACAGTAGCGCAAAATAAAGTAATGACTATGTGGCTGGATGATACTGATAGGAATGATGAGCTTTTTGAAAGAGATATAGACGAGGCTGACGAGTACATTAACGTTTGGTATACTCTCGAACAAAAAGTCAGTAAATATTTGGAATAAAAGTACTTCGACATCTGATCATTCTTGCTCAATTAAAGAAAACCAAGATGAAGTAAATCGTCATTATCGCTTACCAAAACTTGAATTACCTAAATTTAACGGAGACATTAATCGATGGTTGATATTTTGGACGCAGTTTAAAAAAATTGATACTGATGAAAAAATAGACAACGACGACAAATGCCATTACTTAATACAATGCATGGAAGAAGGATCCACAGCGAGAGAATTTATTGAGAGCTTTCCACCTTCCGGGAGTAACTATGCAAACGCTGTGAAGCAATTTAAACAAAGATTCGCCCAAGTTGAGTTCCTCATTGAACACTATGTGCGAGAGTTATTGCTTCTGGTACTTGCTCAAGCCAAGGGCGTAAACAAAACTTCCATTCGATCGCTGTACGACAAGATAATCACACAAGTTTTAGCACTTGAAAGCATGAACATGACGCAAGATAAGTATGCTTCCTTTCTCTATCCACTGGTTGAGTCATCATTGCCAGAGGATCTTCTAAGAGCGTGGCATAGATCGAATTTTCAACGCGGGAAGGATTCAAATCCTCTGTCAAGACTATTAGATTTCGTAAAACAAGAGGTGTCGCGCATGAGACTCTGTGGGCGTTCGGTGTGGTTGTCTTATTCTATCTTTATACCTAGTGCAATGAAGTATATTAACTACTACCAAATACTGACACATTCTTTAGAGGTTCAACCAGAAACCACACATGTCTCATCGTCTGCCTACAACCCACACCAACAGGGTGTACAATGGACTGAGGCAGACCGCGATTATTCATACTTTCGGCATTGAACAATTTAAACATGTTACTATACTAGTGCAAATTACATTAATGTTTCATACCTTATTCTGTCTTGTGTTAAATTTGCTATAGATATCTGCTTCGCTTATTTCAATTTATTCCCTTCGTCAATTGTCAATATCATCAAGGAACCTGTACAGAGAAATTATAGCATGAATCTCAGAGTTGAGACACTAAGCATCTTCGTAGCCATGATTAATACCTATACATTACATGTACACACACATCAATATTCACATATACATTCACGTGGATTTTCTACTCATTTTACATTTCGTTTCATGATTGGCATAGGACCCTTTCAGCGTGTCCTGATTGATTATCATAAGCCTTTGATCATGAAGCCAATGCTTCATGATTGGTAGAGGACACTTTCAGCGTATCCCTTTTGATTACCATAAGCCTTTGATCATGAAGCCAATGCTTCATGATTGGCACAGGACACTTTCAGCGTATCCCTTTTGATTACCATAAGCCTTTGATCATGAAGCCAATGCTTCATGATTGGCACAGGACACTTTCGGCGTATCCTGTTTGTTCAGTCAAGTGCACTCTGACTAACTCTACGCGCAACACCCGCAAGTGTTCGCCAGTACAATTTACGGGTAGCCTTTCTTCTGGCTAACCCCCCGCACAACGCCCTCGAGCGTTTGCCGGTACAATCGCCAATCTATGTTACAATTGTATTGCTCTTAATATAGGTAAGTCCCTTTTCCGACCTTCCAATCGACACGTGAAATCATGATACACATCACATAAACCATAAATAGTAATTAATCGACTCGGGGAAGATACTTAGCTCTCATATCCAGAATCTCGCAAACAGCACACATTTCAGCCGGAGTCGAAAAGGAAAAGAAACTTTTCTGACAGGTAAAAAACCGCGGAGTTACGGGCCACAGATTAGGTATTAAAATCGGTTAATGTTACTCACCACAGATTACAGGATTTTGTTGCCATATCAAATATTTACATTTCGCGACTTGGTCAAGTTTGCCCGTCGCGACAAGAGGTAGAGTCGGTAGAAAGAATCAGGTTGGCGCGTTCTGGGTTCACTAATAGATTTTCCAATGCAGAAACTCCAACTACGTCTCGTTTCACAACAGCTGACAAGCAGAACTTTACTAAAGGTAACGTGAAACAGCCTGTTGAAGCCAATCTTAAGGTTTGTCTATTTTGCGACAGAAAAAATCACACTAGTTCAGAATGCGTAGCAGCAGTGAATAAGTCATGGGAAGATCGAGTCGAAATAATTAAACGTAAAAAAGCTTGTGGAATTTGTTTATGCATCGGACACCATTGGAAAAAATGTAAGAAACACCCAAAATGTGTTATATGTGGTAAGAAACACTTTCCTATTATGTGTAACAGTACGAAATGCACACCAACTGTTGAAAGGCAAAATAATGGTGAGCAAGTTTCTGTTACGCAATCAATAAGTACATCAGACAATAAGACTGTTTTGTTAAAAGCACCCTAACCTTAAAAGTTAAATTAATTTCTAATTCTGGTATACAAACAGTGAGGGCTCTGTTAGACTCTGGCGCTCAGCGCTCATTTATTAAAACCGATATTGTAAATAAACTAAATTTAAAACCAATTAGACAACAAAAGCTTAGCCATAATCTGTTCGGTGGTACTGTTACTAAGTGTAGGGAACTTGTTTAATATTAATGTATGTAGTTTAGATAGTAGCTATAATAGTGCAGTCATTGAAGCGAAAAATACGGTGTTACCTCCGAATTTTTTTACTGATTTGCATGAAATTTTGGAATTAGGCTCATCTTACCCTTAACTTCAAAAGTGAAAATGATCTGAACTCCGCCTATTATTTTTAAGGGGTGTAAACAACCCCTTAATGGAAAAAATGACATTGAGCCTTTCTATCGCTAGAAAACATGTCTAATAGGAAGTGATGAAATTGTAAAGTATTTTCTAACATAATTACCTCATATTAAAATTATTTTCAACCCCTTGAAAATATTACAACCCTTGCTAACAACCCCTAAATTGAAAAAATCACAAAAAAATACTTTGGTATGTACATAAAAAGATGTAAGTATAGAGTAAGTAATATTTTCTATTCTCTATAATAATTATCAAATTTTTAACCCCCTTTCAACCCTTGAAAACTACCCCTTGATAAAAAATTGTTAAAAAATTTTTTTTGAGAAAATGTAAAGGATTTAAATATTATTCCACACTCTCGAAAATGATTATCATATTCTTAAGCTTTTCTATCCTTAAAACTACCCCTAAATTAAAACAGTAAATATATATGATTAAATATTTAAAAATAATTTAATTTAGAGTCATAAATTGCCATTTATTGAATAAAATATTTACTAATTATATAAAATTGTACTATTATTATTAAAATATAATATTATTATTCATGACTCAATGTCGGACTCGCTGTCACATTCAACATCTTCTGGCTGAATTGGAGGGCTATTTTGGCAGTTATCTCCACTGCACGTTCCACAGGTACTATTACAAAACAGACCAACTTTTCTGCATCCGCGCACACATCCTTTTTTGCAGTTGCAAAAAATCATTTTCAGCAGTTCTTGTGGTGCAGGTGGATCTACAGACTTAAGTGGATTTAATAAACCGTCACTCATGACCCACCCCCAATCCTTTGGATGAATGATGATGATGATGATGATGAAATGATGAAATGTGTTTTAAATACATATAAGAACATTGGTATGTATTCATGCCTACGTTTCCAAAATATATGAGCCATATTATGTATATATTACAATATTCACAATATATATTGTGATAGCATATCACAATTTATGAAAAAC